GAGGAAGTGACATTTAAACTGAAATACAGCAGATAAAGAGCCAGCAAAGCAAGAGGGTGGAGCCATGAGGTTACTGGCAGAGTGGCTGGCGCCTTGGGGCTGAATGGAGCTTGGCCTGGAAAAGGTAGTGGGGGTGGGAGGGGGGTGCTGGGCCAGAGGAGCCGAGGGAGCCAGGGAGGAGCTGAAGTTGGGGCGGAGGCTGGAGCCAGCTCAGTTGGGGCCTCGTAAGCCGTGGCTGGGGTTCTGATGTTTGCTATTTAAGCCAGCACCTACTGGAGGGTCTTGGGGAGTGACACCCTGATCTTTTGGCTCAGGCCTTGGAAACACCCCCCATTAACAAACCAAAGGGGCTTATAGTGGGGACCCAGGGTCCGGGAGGCTGTCCCCTCCACACCTCTCATCACCTTGTCTAATCCAAGTGTGGGCCTCTCAAAGGACAGGAGGTCTTGCTCAAACACTGATTTACTCCAGCACCCCGAGAGAGAAAAAAAGCATCACTTGTACATTTTCAAAGTCATGTAGTGTGTGTGTAAAAATTGTAAAATAAAATACAGGGCATCAGAGAGATTTCTCTATGGCTGTGTGTGGTTTTGGCATATGCTTCAAGGTCTTTTCTGTAATGTGGGATATTTAGGAGGAAAAATATAAGAAATGCTGAAATAATGGAAAGCATTTGGGTACTAGGGTCAGCCAAACCCAAGTTCAAATATAACTTCTGCCACCAGCTAGTTGTGTAAACGTAAGTAAATTAGCCTCTCTGAGTTTCAGTGTCTTCTATAAAATGGGGGGGAAATAGCGGGGGCAGGAAGCAAGGGGCATGGATTAAGCACAGTCTTCAGAGGCATACGACATGGGTTTGAACGCCATCTCCATTAATCCCTGATGGTGTGACTCTGAGTAGATAACTTCACTTCTTGGAGTATCTGTTTTTTCCTCTGAAAAAAAAAAAATGGGACAATAAGGGCTCAAGTAAGCTTCATAGGACTTAGGTAAGCTTCATATAAAACAATGCAGCAGGCTGGATGCGGTGGCTCACGCCTGTGATCTCAGCACTTTCGGAGGCCGAGACGGGTGGATCACTGGAGTCCAGGAGTTCAAGACCAGCAGGTGACATGACAAGACCCCATTTCTAAAAAAAATACAAAAATTAGCTGGGCATGGTGGCATGCTCCTATAGTCCCAGCTACCCGGGAGGCTGAGGAGGAAGGAACACTTGAGCCCGAGAGGTGGAGGTTGCAGTGAGCTGAGATCATGCCACTGCACTCCAGCCTGGGCGACAAAGTGAGGGAAAAGAAAAAAATGTAGATACAGGGCTTCACACAGTGCCTGGAACATTGTAGGTGTGTAATAAGGTGGGTTTGCTTCTGCCTTGGTTTCCCCATCTGTAACTGAGGAGGTTGGATTAGATGGTTCCCTGAGGCCCTTCCCAAGTTCGTGATTCTAAATGTATTTAAAAGGTGCAAGCTGACAGTGGTGGCACACTCCTGTAGGTCCAACTACTTGGGACAGAAGGCTGAGGCAGGAGGATCACTTGAGCCCAGGAGTTCAAGGCTGCAGTGAGCTCTTGCATCATGCACTCCAGCCTGGGCAACAGAGCAAGACCCCCATCCCTAAAGAGAAAAGCAAAATAAAGAAAGGCCCTGGAAGAGTTAATCTGCCTGGATTCCTTGGGGCCTTAGTGCCCCTCTAAGCACCCTGCCCCCAGGCTTTCTCGACACCATTGTGTAGAGAATGGGGTGAGGGTGGGGCAGGGCACAAGCTGGGAGCAGGGCTATTTGGAGCCTTGTTTTTCTTGGAGGTGCTGTGGAGGCAAGGAGACTCTCCTCTCCCTCCCTTCCCCTAGGTTTGGAACTAGAATCTAGTCTCCCCGCCTTTATTTCCAAAACATTTCCTGGCTGTAGCTGCCAGCACTCCTCTGGGACTCCAGGAGCCTTCAGGCTCCAGCTCAGAAAACCCTTCCTCTCTGTGTGTCTCAGACACACACCCCTCCGCCCAGGCACTGGGGCCTACCCCGAACCACCTTTTGCAGAGAGGCATTCCCTCTTTGTCCAGAGAAGCGGGTGCAAGGCCATTGTGGGCAAGAGAGCAAATCCACCTTCCCCTTGTGGAGCCTGTGTGGCTGGGCATGGAGGTCAGAAGAGAGAGGGGAGCTGTCAACTGCGACAGATGGTTCCCTTTCTCGCCCTCTCTCTCGTCCGGCTGGCTCTCTTTTCTGCCTGTCTTCAGCTAGCTGTTTGCAGGATTCTCATCTGCCTTGAAGACTTGCTTCCACTTCCTTCCTCCCTCTCTCTCTACTGCAAAATGTTTGTAGACTGCGACTTTCCAAATCATTTCGAACCTGCTTTAAAAATTCAGTTTCTATTCTGGGGGTCCCAGATGTGCTGCAGCTCACAAATAAGGCTAACCAGTTTTCCAAGACCCTCATCATGTAGACAAGGGAAAGAAATGGTGATTCACAGGGCCTGGGGAGTGTCTAGGCCATAGTTTTCCAAAGGCACCTGTCATTTATGTAACGTTTCCACGATGTTTGCCGTATCTGCCTACCACCTCTACTATTATTTATGTAACCTAGGTTGAGCAAGTGTGACATCAGAAATACAATCAAACTGCGTCCTTATTTTTTCCTGCCCCTCCCTACTTATAATTTAGTCAGTGAGGGGAGCTCCTCCTCCCCCTGATTGAAGTCTCCACTCCCTGGCAACCCTTTCATCCGAAGGTGAGATTTCTTCCTGCTCCCCGAGTGAAGGTGTGAAACGGGCAAGGCCATCTGCTCCCCTTGTCAGCTCACCTCTTTCCAAGTTGAAGGGAGGCGAGGTACAAGGACAGGAGGAGGATTTCTAGATGTTTCATGACTGGGGCGGGCCTAGACTGCTCTGCATCTCTGTGCCTGGCAGACATTTAAAGCTATCTTTTCCATGAGGGCCTTTTGCAGGCTCTTTGGGAGTTACAATTTTGGGCCCTGTGATTGTCACACTGCTGGGATGTGGGCAATGAACATTTTCCTTTCTCTGCAAGCCCAGGCCTTCCCCTCAGCATCTGTTTCCAGAGTTAAAGATCCTGGAGGGGGCAGGAGGAGAGGTATAGCCAGCCTGTTTCTGAGGGGAACAGCCAGAGGCAGCCAAAAATCCTGGACAGGCTCTCCAAGAGCCAGGGGCCAAGCAGAGTCTGAAGGGAAAGGAGATTGAAGGCCCAGAAGGAAAAATGAGTTCCAAAGGTCAATGCCTGAGCAATGCGCCTGCCGTGCAACCAGGACCACAGCTGCTGAGGATCCCCCTAATACTCAAACGTCTGATTGGATAGCCACAGGCTGAGTGAGGACTATGAAGCCCACAGTGCTTTGTATCTGGAAAGAGAACAGATTGAAGTCTGAAAGGCTCAGCATTGGAGCTAGAAGGGACCCTAGAGACCATCTACTCTAGTGGTTCCCAAAACAAGGTTTCTGAACCTCCATCAGCAGCAATACTTGGAAACTTATTAGAAATGCAAACGATCCAGCTTCACCCCAGATCTAATGAATCAGAAACTTTAGGGATAAGGCCCAACAACCTGTGTGTTAACAAGCCCTCGAGGTGAGTGTGATGCGCACTGAAGTTTAGGAACCACTGCTCTAGTCCAGCCCCTGTTGTTCAGGTGAGGAAACTGAGGCCCAGAGAGGGAAAAGGGTTTGCTTAAGGTCACAAAGCAAGTTACCATTTCATAGTTTATCTCCATGGCAGGAAGCTATGCCTGGGATGTTCCCCCTTCTGGTTTCATTCTTGAGAGAGAGGCTGTTAATTACAAAGCAACGGAACTGATTTCTTGAGAGATCTTGGGCAAGTTGCTTATTTCTGCTCTGGGTCTCAGTTTCTGCGAACGCATAGTGAGGGCAGGGAGTAAATACCTCTGGGTGTATAGCACACTGATCTCCGGTGGGATCGTGCTATTGCTGCCATCAGCCTTAAGGACACGGTCTAGCCTGGGACGGGAGGGCACAGGCTCTGGATCTGGATGGCCTGGTTCAAACCTTAGCCCTGCCATCTACTCATCGCGTGATGTAGACCAGGAGCGTCCAGTCTGTTGGCTTCCCTGTGCCACATCGGAAGAAGAATTGTCTTCGGCCACACATAAAATACACTAACATTAACTTTAATGTTATGAACTTTAAAAAAAGTTTATACCATTAAACTTTAAAAAATCGCAAAAAATTTTAAAGTGATGAACTTTAAAAAATCGCAAAAAATATCTCATGATGTTTTAAGAAAGTTTACAAAACTTGTGTTGGGCTGCATTCAAAGCCATCCTGGGGTGCATGCGGCCCACAGGCCCCGGGTTGGAAAAGTGTGATGTAGACACATTGCTCAACTTCTCTGAGCCTCCGCTTCCTCTCCTATATCTATCCTATAAGGGTATTGTGAAGATCAAGTAATGAATGGAAAGCTCTTAGCACATGCCTGGCGCACAGGAAGCACCTGGGGGAGGAGCTGCTACTGGCCTGCCAAGGTCACTCAGGTGATGGTTGACCTCCACTCAGTAACTGAATCCTCAGCCCTCCTCATGCGCAACCCTGAGTCTCCCGTGAGAAGCAGACTACTTGCAAAGTCACCTACAATTCAAACATTTCTACCCTTGTAGAACTGTAACTTTCTATTCATGCCATAGATTTGGATGAAACCATGGATCATTTCTCTCCATTCACAGCTCCTCCCAGTCACCAGTCTCTGGGTCATAAGGTCTGCATCCATTTCAGCCACTCTGGGGGATGATGGTCTGATGATGAGTGCCTCACCCCCGAGACCCCTTCAAAGTGTATTCTGGGTAATGACTCCACTCACCCAAATACTTCCTCAAGATATGACGACTCTGTCCACATCACATCTACTTGAATGTGATGCAGGAAAGAGCAAGAGACAGAAATCCAGTTGAGTGTATCCCAGCTGCCTCCTCCTGTGCATCCCCTCTGACCAGACCCAGGCCAGCTTGGTGGCCACACTCACCTGTCACAGCTCTCTTGCCTCCCACAGGTGACCACCATGATCCCCTGGGTGCTCTTGGCCTGTGCCCTCCCCTGCGCTGCTGACCCACTGCTTGGCGCCTTTGCTCGCAGGGACTTCCGGAAAGGCTCCCCTCAACTGGTCTGCAGCCTGCCTGGCCCCCAGGGCCCACCCGGCCCCCCAGGAGCCCCAGGGCCCTCAGGAATGATGGGACGAATGGGCTTTCCTGGCAAAGACGGCCAAGATGGACAGGACGGCGACAGAGGGGACAGTGGAGAGGAAGGTAAGAGGCCTACACCTGCCCCTCTCGTTCCCACCGGGCTGACAGCATCCGGCATGCGAGGGACGTCATGAAGTTGATAAAACTAGTATTAATCCTCTTCATTATAAATCAGATTACTATTTACTTATAAACAGAGCTATATATATATATATATTCCCCCCCACCTTGAGACAGAGGCTTGCTCTGTTGCCCAGGCTGGAGTGCAGTGGTGTGATCTCAGCTCACTGCAACCTCTGCCTCCTGGGATCAAGCAATTCTCCTGCCTCAGCCTCCTGAGTAGCTGGGGCTACAGACGCATGTCACCATACCTGGCTAATTTTTGAGTTTTTTTAGTAGAGATAGGGTTTCACCATGTTGGCCAGGCTGGTCTCAAACTCTTGATCTCAAGTGATCCATCTACCTCGCCCTTCCAAAGTGCTGGGATTACAGGCATGGGCCACTGTGCCCAGCCTCAGAGCAGTTTATTCTGACAGGAACATGGGTATTGAATTTTGTGTTCCTGCCCCTGGTGCACCTTTGGGTTGCTAAGTGACTTTGGAAAAGTCTCCCAAAATATTACTCAGAACTCTTGATGATTGAAAGTGACAGAAACCCAACTTACAGTCCCAAATGGAATGTATTAGCTCATAAAACTGAGACATCAGGCTAGGCGCAGTGGCTCACACCTGTAATCTCAGCACTTTGGGAGGCTGAGGTGGGCGGATCACTTGAGGCCAGGAGTTCAAGACCAGCCCAGCCAACATGGCAAAACCCCATCTCTACTAAAAATACAAAAAATTAGCCAGGCCTAGTGGCGCATGCCTATAATCCCAGCTACTCTGGAGGCTGAGGTAGGAGAATTGCTTGAACCCGGGAGGCCGAGGTTAGTGTGAGTTGAGATTGTGCCACTGCACTTCAGCCTGGGCAACAGAGCAGGATCCTGTCTCCAAAAAAAACAAAACAAAACAAAAACAAAACACAAAACAAAACAAAACTGAGACATCCAAGAGCCGAGCTCCAGGAATAGCTGAGTCCAGGAGCTCAAATATCATTGTCAGGGCTCTGCTTCTCTCTGTGTTTGTTGCATCCTCACAAAGGCTGGAAGTTCTGAAATAGCAACTGCTGGGCTCAGGCCCACATCTTCCTGGCTTCATCCACAGAGCAAATCTCAGAACAGCCAATTCTCCTTGTGTATCCTGGACCAATTCCCTTGACCAAGGAGGAGAGGTGCCGCCGTTTGCAGGGCAGGCTCATGGGGCCACCCCTGCGTGCGTGTGTGTGTATGTGTGTGTGTGTGTGTGTGTGTGTGAGTCATTGTGACTGACAGCCCTGCTAGGACCATATGAAATGAAATGGTGAACGGCACCTCCCCAAAGGAAGGGATGCCAGGCAGACGGCAAGCAGAATGGATATACTCTACAGACCTTTCCGTTGTGACATTCCTTATATCTCCAAACTTTCACCCCAGCAACCAAGCACTTTTCAGTGTCAGCAGCATCCCTAAGCCTACATTTTAAGCAGTAGAGAAATATAATAATTTTTATTTGTATGGCATTTTCATATTGACAAAGCACTTTTGAGCATGTTGCCCATCTGACCATCCATATCCTGTGCCGGAGGGATTCTTATTTTCGCCATGTTGCAGATGAGGATACTGAGAGTCAGAGTGATTCAGCTGAGAGCAAAATATCATCCCTGCAAGAACATGAACTTTGGAAACAAACCTGGACACTGATTTTGGCAAACTATTTAACCTCTCTCCAAACCATGGCTTCCTCATCTCTAAAATATGGATAATAAATAGCACCTGTCTCACAGGGTTGTGGTAAAGATGAAATAAAACAGTGTATGAAGCACCTGTCTCAGCGTAGACACACAATAAATGTTAGGCACCCTGTAATGGACTTACTGAGCTCACATAACACACAGATAGTTGACTGCAAATCCAGGTCTTTTCCTGCCACACCAAACTAATTCCTTCAAAAGTACCTCCTCCCCAGGAGATTAGTATAAAAGTAACCATCATAGCTTTGACTGGTGGTATGTGGGGGAGGAGGGGAGGGTCTTCCATCGTGCTGGGCACTGGTGTCATGATATCCAATTTCCTGACCATAGCGGCAGACTCAGGTCTGGACATGAGCTCCAAGCAGGCCAGCTAGAGATTTCCCTGAGGTTTGCCTATGGATCCTGAGGGACAGAGTCTCTGCTGTTGACTTTTTCCCCAAATAGATAAAGCTTACCAGGAAGTTCTACCGTGTACTGGGGCTGCCTTTGGCCATCTCTTCTGCTATGTGTTGAGTCTCTGCAGAGAAGGAAGCCACCACACCAAGGAAGGCGGTGCTGGGAACTCAGCACATGTAACCCAGACGAAGCTTGTCACCCTGGGGCCAATTCAGGATAACATCCAACCGCCCCCCATCACCACACACACAAATTCACCCCCAGAAAAGTCTTTCAAGAGTAAAGTCAGCTTTTCCTGAAGTCTCTCAAAAAAGGTAATGAAGCGGAGGCCGGGCGCGGTGGCTCAAGCCTGTAATCCCAGCACTTTGGGAGGCCAAGACGGGCGGATCACGAGGTCAGGAGATCGAGACCATCCTGGCTAACACGGTGAAACCCCGTCTCTACTAAAAAGAATACAAAAAACGAGCCGGGCGAGGTGGCGGGCACCTGTAGTCCCAGCTACTCGGGAGGCTGAGGCAGGAGAATGGTGGGAACCCGGGAGGCGGAGCTTGCAGTGAGCCCAGATCGCGCCACTGAACTCCAGCCTGGGCGACAGAGCAAGACTCCGTCTCAAAAAAAAAAAAAAAAATTGAAGAGGAAAGCACATTACATAGTTCATGGTAGGACTTCCCGGTAAGCTTTCTTACCTATTTGTCTCCCACCAAAAACCCCAAGTCAAAATGACTTGGGGGCTGCATGGTGGCTCATGCCTGTGATTTCAGCACTTTGGGAGGCCGAGGCAGGAGTACTGGGAGGCCAGGAGTTTGAGACCAGCCTGGGCAACATAGGGAGGCACCATCTCTACAGAAAATTTTAAAATTAACCAAGCGTGGTGGTGTGTGCCTGAAATCCCAGCTACTCAGGAGGCTGAGGCAGGAGGATGACTCAAGCCCAAGAGTTTGAGGTTACAGTGAGCTATGATCGCACCACTGCACTCCAGCCTGGGTAACAATGTAATACTCTATCTCTAAAAAAAAAAAAAAAAAAAAAAATTCTGTCTCTACTCCTCTTCTCTTGGCCCCTTTTCCCACCTTTTGTTTATTTTCATTTTTTCAAGAGTTTTGTGACTTTTCTTAGTTTTATTTTTTCCCATTCTGTTTATTTTTAATTATATGAGTAATATACAAATACAGTCTCACTGTAATATATTCAAACAATACACATAAAGCAAAAGTCCTCCTTACTTACTACCCCTTCTCATCCTCCCCTCACCCTCCAGAGGTAACCACTATTAATTGGTTAGGTGTGTATGTTTCCTGGCCTTTCTCTGTGTATTTACATATGTGTTTAATAATACTGGGCATTGTCAGGCATTTAACATAAGCACTCTGTTGCTGAAAATCAAGTGTTCAGTAACAAAATGCAATTTGGAAACCTATTTCCGAATTACGTAAAATAGGAAAAATTCAGATGCATTACAGATTAACTCAGAACTCTAAAACACAGTGAAATGCCTACATACAGACGTATAAGAAACAAAGTAACTTGTTAGGATGGAAAATGCCTGAAACATTACTTCCTTGACCACCCAATTCGTATAGGTGACATAACCTTGTGTCAGTGAACTCAAGTCATTATCCACATAGGTTTTGTTTAAAATGTTGAGTTGAAGGGACATAAACTAAATTGATTTTATACAATCAGTAGCCAAAAATGTTGTATTGAGAGAAATGTGCATTTTATGAAATATGAGTATGAAACATCAAAAAGCGTTCTAAAGGAAAACACAATTGGGGGAATTGTTCTGCAAGGAATGCCAGCTAGTATTTAGGGAATGTTTGCTATAGGCCAGGCACTCTTCTATGCGTTTAAATGGGTGTAGAAATATTTAGCATTGTGGATTCCTTTTGCTTTCCTAATTTTTATTTTTTAGAGACAAGGTCTCACTCTGTTGCCCAGGCTGGAATGCAGTGACACAATCAGAGCTCACTGTAACCTGGAACTTGTGGGCTCAAGGGATCCTCTCACCTCAGCCTCCCAGGTAGATAAGGCTACAGGTGCACGCCACCATGCCTGACTAATTTTTATATTTTTTGTAGGGATAGTGTCTGGCTACATTGCCCAGGCTGGTCTCAAACTCCTGGCCTCAAGCGATCCTCCAGTCCCAGCTTCCCAAAGTGCTGGGATTACAGACATGAGCCACCATGCCCAGCCTGGCTTCCTTTTAACATAAAGGCTCTGGCCACCTGCTCTTTCCTCTTAGTATATGTTAGAGAAGGTTTCATAGAGCACACGTAACTCTACTTTTCTTTTTTTTTTAACTCCTGCATAGAAATCCACAGTATGAATGGACCATAATTTTTTTTATCATTTTCCTTTGGATGGGCATTTAGTTGTTCCTATTTTTTGCTATTGTAAGCAATGCCGCAGTAAAATCCTTGTACACGTGGGCACGGCTTGTATGCACTAGGCAGGGATTTTACTAAGATCAATGTGTTGAAATCAAGGGGCTTTTTCTAGTTCTCTTCTCAACCTATTACCAGCACAGCCCGTGGAAGGACTGATCTGGCAGACAGACCAGACCCTTCCTTAGAAGGCAGGAAAAGGAAAGGGTGTGAACTTTTTGCCCTGATCCACAGTGATTTTTGAAGGTAAGTATCATCATTTCCATTTTCCAGATAGCTAGCGTTAGGATTTACGCCCACTTCTATGTGTCTCCAAAGCCTTCTTGTTCTTTCCATTACCCAAGCACTCCTTCTCCAAGGTTGGAAAACCAAGGGGCACCCCTCTGCCTAGGTCTGTGAGGACCGTCCATAACATCAGCTGCTCTGTCTTCCAGGTCCACCTGGCCGGACAGGTAACCGGGGAAAGCCAGGACCAAAGGGCAAAGCCGGGGCCATTGGGCGGGCTGGCCCCCGTGGCCCCAAGGGGGTCAACGGCACCCCCGGGAAGCATGGCACGCCAGGCAAGAAGGGACCTAAGGGCAAGAAGGGGGAGCCGGGCCTCCCAGGCCCCTGCAGCTGCGGCAGTGGCCATACCAAGTCAGCTTTCTCGGTGGCAGTGACCAAGAGCTACCCACGGGAGCGGCTGCCCATCAAGTTTGACAAGATTCTGATGAACGAGGGTGGTCACTACAATGCTTCCAGCGGCAAGTTCGTCTGCGGCGTGCCTGGGATCTACTACTTCACCTATGACATCACGCTGGCCAACAAGCACCTCGCCATTGGCCTGGTGCACAACGGCCAGTACCGCATCCGGACCTTTGATGCCAACACCGGCAACCACGATGTGGCCTCGGGCTCCACCATCCTGGCTCTCAAGCAGGGTGACGAAGTCTGGCTGCAGATCTTCTACTCAGAGCAGAATGGGCTCTTCTACGACCCTTACTGGACAGACAGCCTCTTTACGGGCTTCCTAATCTACGCCGACCAGGATGACCCCAACGAGGTATAGACATGCCAGTGTGGTCCGCCAGGCAGGGAGCAAGCTTCTGGACTTGGGCTTACAGAGCAAGACCCCTCAACTGTAGGCTGGGGGTGGGGGGTCCAGTGAGCAGTTCTAGCCTCAGGCTGACCTCCTCTGCCTCTTTTTTTCCCCATCATTAAATCCAAGCCTTTTTATTCATCCGACCATCTATTTATTCACTTCTTTTTAAAGTATCTACTATGTAACAGGCACTATGCTATTCTCTGAAAGGCGCAGCAGTGGACAAGACAGAGCATCTGTCCTCATGTGGCTTACATTCTAGCAGATGATACAATTTACAAATAACCAAGCAAATAACATAATATTATGCCAGGATAGAAATGAACATGCCATGGTTGACAGTAATAGGAATAACAGGAGACAGGGAAGAGGTGGAAATTTGTTTCTTTTTGTTTGTTTGCCTTTTTAGGTTTACTTACATACAGTGACTCTCCAAATTTTAAGTTGACAGCTCAGTGAATACTTTTTACTTATGTGCACACCCTGAAACCTCCATGTAGATCGAAGAACAAGCTATTTCCAGCCTCTCACCTCCCTTCCCCAAAGGCTCTCTTAAGACCCCTCTAAGTCAGTACCTGGAAAAGTTCCATTTTTGAGCTGAGTTCCAAAGAAGGAAATAGAGCAATGCAAAGGCCTCGGAAAAGAGGTCTCCCAGCAAAAGACTCTGCAAGTGCAAAGACTTTGACAGAAAAGAGGGAGGGGCCAACGTCAGAACTGAGAAGCGAGGCATGAGGCATGAGGCTGGAAGATAATACAGAACCTCCCAGGCCATGGCAAAGCTCGTTCCACTCACAAAGGCTTATCAGAATGCAAAGTGAGCATGACACTGATAAGCGGATCATCTTGAATCTGCTCAATGCATGAGTCAAGTCAGCCACAGACTTGAGCACTTTGTTATTAGTTAGTCTTTTGCAGGTCCGCTTCTCAATGAATGAGATACACCAGGGTATGCACGTACACCTGAGAACCGCTGCTCTAAGATGGCAGGAATGGATCCCACGAAAATGAATCTCACCCTAAGCCCAGGTGTTTCCAGTATGCAGGGGTCTGAGGGCTTAAGAAGCCGCAGTGAAAGTGCCAGGTGCTGGCCGGATGTGGTGGCTCAACGCCTGTAATCCCAGGACTTTGGGAGGCTGAGGCAGATGGATCACTTGAGGTCTTGAGGTCAAGAGTTCAAGACCAGCTTGGCCAACATGGCGAAATGTTATCTCAAAAAATACAAAAATTAGACAGGCATGGTGGTGGGCACCTGTAATCCCAGATACTGGGGAGGCTGAGGCGGAAGAATTGCTTGAACCTGGGAGGTGGAGGTTGCAGTTAGCTGAGATCGTGCCACTGCACTGCAGCCTGGGCAACAGAATAAGACTGTCTCCAAAAAAAAAGGCAGGTACTGAAAGCCCCATGAAACAATTTGCTGGAGAGAATTTTCAGTTGAAGCCACAGCTCCCTAGCAGCTTTCTCTGGCTGCCCGCCTAGAGAGATACTCAGGGACTGCGATGGCTGCACGGGATGGTTCTGGAAGGAGTGGCCATCTCCATAAGTAAAATGGGGTTTATTTAAAATAACTCCATTTTCTCTGGGCCATAAATGGTTTGGGATTGGGGTGGGCCTGAAAAATTCAGGAAAGGCTTTCTGACCCAATCAGATTGACGTGTGGGTTGGGGTCCCCTGCAGCACCCCTGTGGGAAGGGGTCAGCTTTGGCCAGTGAACAGTTCTTTTTTCCTTTTCTTTTTCTTACAAATACAACTTTTAGGAGAGCCTTTTGCTTCTTCCTCTTCCTTCCCCCAGGGATATAGGTATTTGAAGGCATTTGACTTAACCCTTTGTAGCCCAGGTAATAAATCCAAACTCAGCAAGATGGGCTGGACCCCAGAGCTCTGTGGTTGCCACTTTTTGGCCCATATTGAACCGATGTCCCCTTGGCCAGGGACTTCTCAGGGAGAGTGTGGGAATGATGGGGGAAGACTCGGCACTCTTTTGTAGAGGGTGGGGCAGATGATAGCAGAGACCTTCCAGGGCCCAGGGCTGGGGTCTTGTCCTCCTTGGATGTGGTCTAGGGTTGCTGCAGATGGTGGGTTTGTGGCGGGGCAGGGGGCAGAAGCAGATGATGCAGTTGAGGCAGGTCTCTGGTAGCTAGTGATGTCAAGGATGAGCTCTCCTTTATCCCCTGACTCTTCTGAGGATGGCTGCCTCCTTGGTGAGCCACTTGGAGGTCTCAGGCTGATGATGCGGGATGGTGGCCCAGATGAGGAAGGGGCTCCAAGGCGGTGGCCTTCCCAGATGCACTGGGCCCCAGCCCTTCTTCCTAGCTATGGCTGATTGCCATGGGCTTCAGCCACCAGGGCCTACCTGTAGGTCTCCACGTAGGTAAGCACCACAGGACCCAGTGCATCTTTGTGCTCTCAAATCGCCCTTGATCCAGAGGTATTTTCTCATTTAGAACACACTGTGAAAGGCAGTCATTCCCCTTCTGGAGAAAGCCTGGAGAATCTGCAGCTCCCATGATGACAGTGCAAAGAGCACTAGACACACAAGGCCCTCACAGGCCAGCCCCACCCTGGGTGGAGCCTCAGGGCTCACCTGACAAATGATGAGGGTCGCACTCTGTGTATCTAGGGGGGGCTTCGTGGGCTGACTTCTGCATCAGGACTATGATGAGGGTGGGGGAGGGCAATTGAGGCAGTCACCTCATGCACAAGATGTAAGAGACTGACAAAAACCTCAGTAATCAATAGAAATATATGTATATATATTTTTGAGACAGGGTCTTGTTCTGTCCAAGGCTGGAGTGCAGTGGCACGATCACAGCTCACTGCAGCCTCAATCTCTTGGGCTCAATTGATCCTCCCACTTCAGCCTTCTGAGAAGCCGGAACTATAGGCCTGTGCCACCATACACAGCTAATTTTTAAATTATTTGTAGAGATGGGGGTCTTGCTATGTTGCCCAGGCTAGTCTCAAACTCCTAGTCTCAAGTGATCTTCCCGCCTCAGCCTCCCAAAGTGCGGAGATTACAGGTATGAGCTAGCGCACCTGGCAGAAATAATTTTTTTTTTCAAGATGGAATCTTGCTCTATCACCCAGGCTGGAGTGCAGTGGTGCGATCTCAATTCACTGCAACCTCCGCCTCCCTGGTTCAAACGATTCTTGTGCCTCAGCCTCCTGAGTAGCTGGGATTACAGGCGCCCACCACCATGGCTGGCTAATTTTTTTTTAATTTTTAGTAGACACGGGTTTTCACCATGTTGGCCAGGCTGGTCTCGAACTCTTGACCTCAAAAGATCCACCCGTCTCAGCCTCCCAAAGTTTTGGGATTATAGGCGTGAGCCACCACCCCCAGCCAGAAATAATATTTTAATAAATCAAAATTAACCAAAAAACTATGATAAAATATCAAAATGTTAAGTAAAGATGAGATCTGACAAGGCCGGGATCAGGGCGAGGTAAGGCAGGGCGAGTCATGCAAGAGCAGCTGGATCCTGGGGTCCATCCGCACCTCTGGAGCCTTTGGCAGCCAGGCCTCGCAGGTGGAAAGGCTTTTTTCCCTCCTGCCTGTCATCTTCAGTCGTGCCACTAGGGGGAGAACGTCGACTACACAAACCTCCAGGCCTGCGGCATGGAGGCTGGGAGATCCACCCTCGTCTCAGGCTGTTTTCTAGATTCCCTGTCACAAAGCAGGTTGTTGTTCAGTCCGTTGAAAATCTATTTCAATTCAGCAGACATGTCCTGAGCACTCACTGAGGCACGGCTGGAGAATGCACCCGGGGTCCCCAAACCAGGTGGGGAGTCAGATCTATCTGGCACCACAACCTCATTCAGCAGCAGAACCTCCTGCGGGGACAGCTGCCATGCGCTTTCATAAAAGCTCCTCAGCCGATTCTAACCCGCAGCCAGCTTTGCCAAGCCCTGGGCCGGGCGGAGGGGAAAACTAACACAGGAAAGACTCCAGTTCTGCCCTTCAAGGGAGGACACTGTGTGTGCCTGCCTTGTCCTGGTGTCGCTTCCACAGCTGACCTCAGGCCGGGGTGGCGTTGAGAATGGAGCAGAGTGTGGGTTTGAAGGTCACCTTGCAGGCCCAGCTCCTCAACCACAGCATCTGAGGGTGCTCCCGACGAACTCTGTGGGTCCCCAACACTCTTCTCTCCCTGCTCCAGAGACAGAGACCCAGAAAGAATTTCTCAGGAGGAGGCCGGGCGCGGTGGTTCACGCCTGTAATCCCAGCACTTTGGGAAGTCGAGGCGGCTGGATCACTTGAGGTCACGAGTTCGAGACCAGCCTGGCCAACATGGTGGAAACCCCGTCTCTACGAAAAATACGAAAAAATATATATATATATTCGCCGGGCATGTTGACAACTGCCTGTAATCCCAGCTACTCGGGAGGCTAAGGCACGAGAATTGTTTGAACCCGGGAGGCAGAAGTTATGGTAAACAGAGATTGTGCCACTGAACTCCAGCCTAGGCAACAGAGTGAGACTCCGTTTCAAATAAAAGAAGAATTTCTCAGAAAGAGCCCAAAGATGGCTCTGGAAAATGGTGGGGTTTGTTTTTTTATTTTTTATTTTTTAAACATTCTCCATCTACTTTATACTTTTGCCTCAGATTGGCCCTGATTTAAAAACAATAATGAAGAGTTCAACTTCATCACAGGTGTTTATTTTTGCTGACGCCCTTGCAAGCTTCCACCACTCATTTATCCCCACCCCAAGTGGTTTTCAAGCTGATCCTGACAGAGATCCGAAATGGCTTCCTCATGTGAAATGTCCATATTCTATTTGGGGCTCTCTTATCCCATAAAACACACTTAAGGTGTGAGCTTCAGGACATGGAGATCAAGGGCCTCAGGGTGAAAGGCTAACGGGGTATTAATCCTCAACTTCATCACAGTTTCCTGTCACTTGGCAGAACTGTATGGGCAAATCACTTTTGAAAAGCTCCTCATTCCCTGGTGTTGAGTCTGGTTCTAGCCATCCTACAACCTGAACCCGAGGAGGGTGTAGAGGGTCTAGAAGTGCCACCTGCTATAGGAGTGTTGGCTGTTCAGCCTTGAGGAGAGAAGACTGGGAGTCCTGAAGGCACCCGCCCACCCCTGCAAGGTGGTCTCAGGGTAGAAGGCGCTGACTGCTTTGAAGAGTTGCAGACGGCAGAACTGAAACAACCGGTGGACTTTATCAGGAGGCCAATTGGGGCCAGTTTGTTTATGCACCACATATTTATTGAACTTCAGCTATGTGCCAAGCAGTGCTTAGGCACAGAGGAATCACAGGACCAGCAAAACAGATATGGTCTCTGTTCTCCTGGAGCTTAGAGTCTAACACAGGTGACAGACTTTGCAAAAATGACCACACCAATAAATGTAAGATGCCAGCTGTGGCATGATGCCATGAGAATGGCAAGGTGAGGATTTGTCCTGGTGAGACTGTCAGGGAGTAGCACTGGTGGAGTAACAGCAGAGCTGAAGGGCAAGTGGGAGCTGGCAAGGCAGGCTGGGTGGAGAAGGCTTTCCAGGGAGGGGCATGGCAGGCAAAGGCCCCGTGGTGGGGCAAAGCATGGCAGAGGGGAAGAATCAAAGAAGCCCCTCCCCAGGTCTTGGGGGCAAAGTGTGCAAGGGGAGAAGATGAGGGGGCAGGGCCCAGACCTTGAAGGCTGATAGGTCAAACTAAAGACGTCTGTCTTGACCATGAGAATAACAGGAAACCACCGAATGATTTTAAGTGGGCAAGTGACATAAGCAGACTTGGGTTTTGAGAAGACCACTCTTGCAGCTAAAGGAGAAATATTTCAACTTACCCTATAGAAGAGCTTTCATTTTGTTTGTTTGTTTGTTTGTTTGTTTGCTTGCTTTGAGATAGAGTCTTGTTCTTTCGCCCAGGCTGGAATACAGTGGTGCCATCTGGGCTCACTGCAACTTCTGCCTCCCGGGTTCAAGCGATTCTCCTGCGTTAGCCTCCCGAGTAGCTGGAATTACAGGCACCTGCCACCACACCCAGCGAATTTTTGTATTTTTAGTAGAGATGGGGTTTCACCATGTTGGCCAGGCTGGTCTCGAACTCCTGACCTCAGGTAATCCACCCACCTGGGCCTCCCACAGTGCTGGGATTACAGGCATGAGCCACATCGCTTGGCTCAGAGGAGCTTTCTGATAGAATGCTAGACCTTGGGAAAGTAATAACAATGAAAGCTAACATTTACTGAGTTCTTACTAGGAATGAAACACTGTGTGCTTTTCATGGATTAATACATTTGGCCTTGAGAACAACATGTAAGGTAGGTGTATTATGATCATCCACTTTTCACAGATGAAGAAATAGAGGCTAGAAGAGGTTCAGAAAGTTGACTGAGATTACCCAGTTGGAGAAGCTGCAGAGCAGGA